TTTTTTTTTTTTTTTTTTGCTTTGTTCTCTGCTTTTTTTGACTTTCCACTTTTTTCGGTTTCTTTTTTTGATTTTCTTCTTGTTTTTTTTTTTCTTGCTTAAAATATGGTTCTATAATTAACGGATATTATCATTTGACGTATTATACGCGTAATTACACTTATGTATCGGAGACTGCCAAAAAGAACGGTTAAACCTTTCGTTTTTTTTTTCTCCTGCTTTTTACAGCTTTTAGTGATCAATTTGGAATTCATTTAAACGGCCAAATAGGAAGAAAAAAAGAGAGGGGAGAGCAAAACAGAAAAAAAAAGAAAGAAAGAAGAAAAAAGAAAAAGTGAAAATAAAATTGTGCAGCAGTATCGTTGCTATTAATGTTTCAATTTTCATTGTTTCTTTTTCTTTTTTTTCCCTATTTAAACCATTAAAATTTTGTTTTTTATTGATAGAGTAATATTTAAGAATTAAAAGTTGGTTTTGCATAGTGGGAAAAAATTCTACTATCAATAATAACATATTTTTGAATGACGAAAATTTATGAACGCTTATAAAACTGCTCCAAATCAGTTGTCATCGGGTATTATACGGTAGTCTTAAGGCAGATTAACTGAACTAGAGAAAATTTTATTTATCTGTATGTTCAACTGTTGTTTGTTTATTCGTTTATTTATTTAATAAAAATGAGGAAAAAAATGGAAAAAAATCTGCACTTTTTTTTTTTGCATGACATCTATTTTAAAGGGATATGAATGAATACAAATTTTTGCAAGGTTTTAATTTTTAAAGTGAACTTTGTTAATATGTTATCATTTTATTTTGCCTCTCTGTTTTCTTTTTTTTTTTTTTCGTTTTTCTACTGCTGTTGCTGTTTCTTTTGCCGCTGTTGCTGCTAATGATGCCATCTTTGCATTTTTGGGTGTAATTCTTTGCAGAAATATGTTTTTTTTTCTTTCTTACTTTTTCTTGAATTACCTTTTTGAATAAAACTAATGAGAATGAAAGAAAAAACAAAAAGTATGACGACGATAATGACGCAAAGAATTTTGAATTTCACTTAAATAGAAGAGAAAAGGAAGGGAGAGGAAGGGATAAGATTTTTAATCAAAACTATTTTATGTGTTTATTTCAATATGTAATAACAGAAAAAAAAAATTAGCACTGGAAAAAAGTGTCACTGCAAAAAGATGAGAGTAAAAGAGAGTGGAAGAAAGAGTGTTGATTGATGATTTAAAAGAGAGTACAGAGAAAAAGAGAGGGAACGAAAAGAGGGAAAAAGAGAGGGACGTTCAACAGTAGCAGTGGAAGACAAAGTATTAAGAAAAAATTGCAACAATAATCAGTGTTTCCTTATTGCTTAAAATATTCGGAAGTCGGGCCAATCGCAGCTGCTTAAGTGCCCTAACCTTTAAGGTCCGATACATAATGTACGACAAGTTTTGGAAGCAAATCCGGACTCGAATCCAATGTTATTCACCGAAATGCTGGAACTTGCTAGTTTACATGATGAACTTGGAAACCATTGGAGACAAATTTCAAGGTTCTGTACTTGTAACTTATTTTCTGGACTGATAACAGAGACAACTGGCGGAAACGAAAAGGGATTAGAAACCGGAAGGGCTGGAGGGGGGAGAAAGAGTAGTAAAGATCTGTAGTAATACATAAGCACTACACAGTAACATATGATAAAACAATAGAGTTGTTTTAAAATTTCGAATTTATATGATCAGAAGAAAGAGTATACTAAAATGCTAATTGTTAATGCTTGTTATTATTATTTATAGGTGGATAAGGTATGAGCAAACTGTTGAAGGTGATGGAACACGATTTTCGAAACCACATATCACGTTGCTGTCAATGGTTAGTCTTATTCAACTAAAAAACTGTCTTCGAAAAGGTGTCATCATTCTTGATGCTCGACTGAATTCATTTGCTGACGTTGCCGGTATTGTTTAGTTTAGTTGTTTTGTTTTTTTTTTTCACTTCTTTTGCTACTTCTTTTTGTTTTTTCTACGTTCTTAAGCTTCTTTAATTTGGCATATTTTATTATCAAAGACTGAACAGTAAACAATAACTTCCTTGATGAATGGATTCAGATACAATGTGTGCGGCATGGGTTGAACGAGGCTTCCTGAACGATGAAACAGCATTTGCCGTCAAGGAGGTGTTAAACTCCTCCAAGTTGCATTTGATCGATGGTCGGATGAGACGGGCTGACGAAAGGCGACGAGGTAGTAGTGACACAGAAACCATCAAATGCATAAATAATTCAGCACTTTTTGAA